ATGGAGGACGGTGTCTGACTATCGTGAATTGTTAGCTAAATGCTATATAGCCCGACGCATCCTCCACTGCCATGCAGGCACCTGCCATGCAGATGACAGCGGTCGGCCTTCCGGCGTCAGGACTTCCCGGTTACGGCAGCTATGAATCGACCTAGCATTTTGTGGAATCCGTACGGGCGAATTGGTATTACTTATGAATGGAAGGATTTTGGTATTTTTTTAGCTCAAGGGTATTTGAGGCGGTGGTGGTACCCATATTGGTGGGAGTACCCGGTGACGAGTTACTGTATTCACAAACAAGCAAACTAGGTGAACAAGATGAGGGAGGGAATGCATGTTGTTCTGGCGCATCAGAAGTTTTCCTGTCCGCGGCAGATCTGCTGCCGAGTAACCTAGAAAATTGTGTGGCTTTAGAACTTGCGATGGTTGGAAGTTCCTAGAATTCTGAAAAACCGATGACACGGGGAAACTTCGTGTATTTGTTGCAGGTAGAACAGTATGCTAAACTTATTATGGTGGGTCCACATACCGGAAGGGTTTTGGATAACAGTAGGCGCGAAAGTTTGCTGAGGAGTGACTTTCAAGTGAGAGAGACCTCCGGTACATCTGTAGTCTGCATTACGCGCACGGTCATTGTGGATATGGCTGTAGTCCGGGGTCTTAGAAATATGGTTTAGTATTGGCTCAAGTGAGTTCCGAGAATCAGAACATTCTACTATATCAATTCTTGTACCCGATTCAGTAGCTTGAGAGAACCAATTATTTCTATCTACACAAGGTGTGGTAGTCATAAACTTTTCTTATGCATAGCTACTATAATTTGATCGCACATAATCCTTTTGGCTACGATCAAACTTTATTGCTGATGTGCTGTTTGTATGGTCCATATCGACGCCCAGTAGGTGTAATAACGAGACTGATGATTCAAGATTATGCACTGGAACCTGGGCGGATGGTTCCTTCAGTATGGAATCTTTATCGCATTCACGTGAAGTACATGTTGGGCCACTGTTGACAACGGCCATGTAAATTTTATTTCGACTTCTTTTAGTATATTTCTTACGTTTCGAAGAATGAAAAGTTCTCTTAGTCGCATTGTTAGACCTTGCTGCACTGAGGGTAGTGGTTTCAGCCAGTGCTTTAGTCGGGCTATTTGCCGAACTGATGTTGAGAGGAGTTTCTCCGTCTGACTTGACTCCCCATGCCACTAATTGGCTCAAGCAAAATGTCGGCATTCGTGGTAGTAGCTATGTCGGAACTATCGGCTTGAGGGCCTTTCGGTATCGGCAGTGGTTGATGTGCCAGACTTCTCTTTACATGGGCGTCATGCCAATCGATATCCTTAGTCTGTTAAAGGTAGTGATATCCGCTATCTGTGCACCTGTTTTGATGGACTCTTTTGCCGTCATTGCGTCGCTAAATCGAAAGAGTACGGGACTGTTTTCAGGCTGAAGCTTCTTACAGAGACTTGTACATCTGCACTGAGCGTCTACCATATTCCCCGCTTTATGCAGGATCTCGTGCGGTGTTTCTACCGACATTGTATCGGGCAAATTGAAAGCCACTGCATGTTTAGCACACCGTGTTCTACACTAAACAACATCAACGAAGTTACCGGCGGGTTTTAAATAATCTCGATCTGGGCTTATCGTCGTCTGCAGCAAAACAGTCAGAGGTTCCAGCATTTTGAGTGTTGTCGCCAAGTAATAATAAATTCTTCCAACTCGTCTTGGATACAATTGAGCTTAGAGAGTGCATCGTTCGGTCTATCAACCGGCTTTCCCGAAAACCTTCGTAGTCCAGGTGGTTTAGTGGAGTTTGGCGACTTAGGGGATTTAAGGGCAACTGAGGTTTTTTTGGGAGACGGTATAAGTCTATGCGCGTCCACCTGGCCTTATAGGTGACGGTTATGGTAACAGGACGACGACAGAATAATATGTTACCGAATCACTCTACAGCGCCTAATTTAAACCGCAAAAATGCACAGCATACGAGTGTACAGATTGGCCTTCTTGATGGGCCGTCCAGTTTTGTCCTGTCCTTACAGGGCAGGCGTGGATGACGAATACTTAACGATTCGCTAAATGCGAGCTAGCTTGTAGGCGCAAGCAGTGAGCGCAAGCTGTAAGCGCAAGCTGAGGGGACAAAATGTGAGTGCAGACTGTGGGCACAGTCTGCGCGCACACGGACACGGTCGCTGATCGTAAGCGAAGGCGAAATACACAACTACAGTTTATGGGCGCCTGGTAACTGCAATAATGAGCTGTATCTACAGTACTAATCGTCGGATTGTTTTAGAATGTTGGCTGACTAGGAGGCGCGCGAACAAGCTCTTGAGCGATGTTAAATGTACACAAAATAATGAGGTAATATTGTGTGTGAGATAGGTAAAGCCTTTGCCAGAAATCCTGCAACCAGATAAACAGTGATGCAAGAAGCATGAAGCTGTGATTTTGATTCCGTTGAATAGAGCTAGCGAAACGGAGTCGAACGAGTGCAGGCGCAGCAGTTTACACCGAAATGGCGACAGTATGGAGCCGGATGAGAGAGCGTTAATGCTTTGTTGCCTGCGCACGTACTTGGCTCTAATTCATTTTTCCCATCATACAATAAGTTACAACCATTACAAAGTCATGTTGATGGTTTCGTGTGTAATTATGCCTTATTCCATAGTGACTGTGTGAAACAAACTTTATGATCTCTACATGAAAGCTCAATTCAAGTTCGTGGGCCAAATACTAAATTATTCACTATTCAGGTAATAGGTAAACCAAGACAAAATCTGCTTATATTATTTTCACATCATCCATAACAATAGGTAAGGTGATAATTCTCGTGCTGTCCTCAGCGGCAGTCTCCACAACTGGCGCTTCCACCAGTAAAAGAGTACGTGACATTCGGTCCGATATGACACCCACTGAAACTGTTGACAACAACAAGGTTATATCTGCACTAAGAATTCACTCCGTCTCACTAAAAAAGAGAGTTGTTACGTTCTAAACCACAGCTTTCTAAACACCTCCAGTGCTTCTTGGAACTGTAGTTATTTATTAGTCACCTTTTATTAGCCTGCATATGCATCTGCTTCCCATAACCAATATTCATTTATTTGTCAACACACCGGCGCTAACAAAATCAACTTGGTGCATCTTCATTCACAAGGCTGGCGTGAGGAAATTCGCAGAAATATGCACGTAGAAGAATGCGACAGGCGTGGAAATGAATGACAGTTTAATTCCCATATACAAACAGGATTATCTACAGATGTGGCATCGCGACGCATGCTGTCGCAACCGGATAACCGACAAGCAAATCCCCGTCCGCGTTCCAACTCCATCCGCCATCAGGTATGGCTCTGCAGCGCACCGCAAGAACATGTGAGCTGGGGGACGAATATATTCAAATTTTTAATAAAATCTTCCTACTCAAAGGCAATATAAAATGTAGCCTCGCCGAATTCAATTGCCATGGACATGGCGTCTAGTGATAGGAAATCATGACCTTCTGAGGCTAGTCAATGTCATTTACCAAAGCAATGACCTGCGTGGCAGTGGAAAGCAGGTCGTTCTATATCCGAGTTAGCTTGCAAATTATGTAACCCAGCCACCGTCCCCCTTGGCTCAGTGACTTAAGCCGCCGGCTATTTGGTGTCAGCATTTAGCGGTCCTGGGTTCCAGCTGCTGCATAGGGCAGTGGGAACGCGTGCCACTAAAGAGGCCCAATAAGGTGAAACGCTTCTGACGATTTTCCAGATTGTGGTTGAGCTAGGTAGCTTGTGAGCTGCTGGGACGAATGTATTATAGTTACAATTAAAAGCCTACTACTCAAAAGTAATGAGTAGGTTCGTTGCTGTTGTATCATGTAATCCGAAAAATGGCGTCTACCCTATTACTACCTGAGACGTTAGGATCTCGTATAACAAGTCTCAAACGAACTGATGCGACGCACGCCATCTGGTTACATTATGCTCCGTCCCAATACATTTTGACGTAATCACGTAATGACCACCAACAAGTGGATCATGCAGTTGTCTTTTGAATCCCGCAGACTTGAGATCGGAAACAATGGAAATTGGAGGAGCGTTCCAAAACTGATGCTCCCACATAAGAAAAAGCCGAACAAGTAAATAATCCCCTTGCTGGATGCCTAAAGCTGTTGCTTGCATTGAGTTGAACTGAAAAGTTTGATATATAATGTTCACAATTTTAACTAACAACCTTTCGAGGAGGTGTCGTGATCGAATTGCTGCTGCTCACTACATGGGCCCCGAATGGTACCTGAAGATCGAAAGCATCGAAATAAAACCGCTTCTTTGACGATGCCATTGTCCACTGAGGTTCCTAGGGCCTAAAGTCCAAGTTAGTTAGTGAGAGAGAGCAATTCGTTGGGAATTCTGATCGTCCTCCTCCTTGTATCTTATAAGCAGCAAGATTATGATTTTGCCAATGATGCCACATTTGGATGGTGCACACCGCATTGGTCCTCCCTTTGGCGTTGAGCATTTATGAATCACCCGTACTAGATCCGCATACGCTTCAAGTGCCACCTGACTGATCTCACAGCTTACACGGCCTGTCTTGAGCAAGCGTGATAGCCACCTCAACAGAAATCACGCTGTAAGACGCCGTGGAGGTGTGTGCTCGATACTTTGCAAGCGGCTGCGTAAAACCGGAGAGCGTTTTGAGTTGACTCCTCATAACCTATGTTGATGTCACTTTGTGTTTCTTCGTAACCATCTGCTGTTTAGATCGCTTGTCATGACTTGAGATATTTAGCAAAGAGTAAAATTTTGAGCTGATCCCGATTGACAGCGGCCAGATATCATTGTTGCTACTAAGTAGAGTATAGAAAACACCCAACCATTGGTATGTCATGGCAAAAACTTGAGCACAATTCTATTTCGTCAATAAAAATAACAATACTATATTACACTGTTGTAAGATGATATGGAATAATTAACACCCGGGGTCGACAAACCACGACGCGGTTTGTAGGTTTGAAATTGATTTCATAGATCGTCAATCATTTCTCGATGCAGTTAACTGTGCTTTTCTCTTTATCCGCTCTACTTCGTATACCTTCGTTGGCCAGAGAGTGCACTTTGACTGGCAAATGTCCATCACGTCGATAGCCTAGAGCGGCTTTGAGTAGTCGCACGCCGGTTTGTTTAGTCCGTTCGACATCTTCCTTTGTGCCTACCAGTGGGTTGATTTCGACAAGGTCCATAACCGAAAGCTTTCCTTAGAGCGGGAGGTGAGAAACCGATGAGCGCCAAACATGTAAGAGAAGGACGGAATTAAGAAGAGACAAACGTCATGCGTACGTGAGCATCATTTCATTCATTTAAAAATAAGAAGCACGATACTTTTTAAATACCTAGGTGAAAATGCAGCTACAATGTATGACGACGCGCAGATCAGCATTCGGTCCATTATTCACAGACCCATCATTCAACGCAAAGCGTGATTTTACTGGCTTCATCGATGGCAAATATGAAAGAGGGTATCGATACCTACTGGCGAATCAGTAACATGGACCGCAAAAATAACAAAAGCTTGTTTGTATTACATAACCACTTTTTTCAGTTACCGTGACACGCTTTGCGCATAGGTAATGAAAATAAGTTCCATATAATATTACCATCTCTGATAGCTAACACAGAGTTCAGAAGTACTAGTTGCGGGTCTTCCCCTACCTGCAATAACATTTCATTCAGAAAATTTCTATTTCATAATGACCTCAAAATGAGGTATGTCTATGTGGTCCAGATTGCAGTTACGAGTTGCTGACGATAGCTGCACTTATGGCTGACGGTATCCGTTCCGCAGCTGCGTATCACTGCGGCCTCCATAGGCCAACTACAGGACGCCTGCGCCTACAGAGGGACCATGGGTGGCTTGTGCTGCACACCCGTACCTCCAGCTATACACCCCTATCCAGGGCAAACTCGAAGAGAGAAGACCGGGTGAAAAGTGCATGGGAGCCAAGTTCCATCAACGGAACCGACATACACACCTACAAAACGCACAGCAGCAGCATTCTTGTCCGTCTAATTGCTGTGAAATAATGCGTATAAGACGTACACAAGGCAGTGGTTGAGCTGTAGGCCGCTCCTCACTGGATGGAACCACTTCCTGAGCCTAACACGGCCACGAGAACGTTGCACCTTTTAACCGCAGCATAAATAAGCAGTCTCATGGAGCCAGTAATCAAAGTGAAGGGGCTAGGGGGCAACCAGCTTGTCAACATTCGCATCAAGCGCAACCAAACAGGGGATATCAAACCAGCTAGCACGTAATGCGAAGAAAAAATCGCGAAATTAACACGGAATATGCTGCATAATAACAGAATTGAGCAGGTCAAAGACACATAAATTAAGTGAAAGTTAGCGTAACCCAGCTGCGGGGAAGAAGCAAGATGTATGCAACAACACCCTTAGCACGTGTCATTTATACTGGTACACACTCACAAACTACTCGCAACTCACCAGTAGCGTAGAGTACTTCGCATATCCGCAACCCTTCTCGCAGCGTCAGCCCACCTGGAACGGGAGTTCCTGTGCTCGGTGCCAAAGAGGGATCCATCGCATCAATGTCGAAGCTAAGATGAATTGGACGTTCAAGTCTAGGTGGAGAAAATCGCATGTACACTGACTGCAAGCTAAGTTAGGTGTCAAATGACGGACGAGGACTAATCAACATATATGGAATATAACTGAGAGAAGAAAGAGATTGCAACTTCCTTAAACTGTCGTGTGCATCAAAACATGCTGATCACATAAGCGATGAAGAGAAAAGTTAGCTGAAAGAAGGAGCTAATTTCAGTCATTTTTACTTACTGTAGGAATCTATAATAGTTTGTGTCCCATATTTGCCCCGGAGACATACATGCACAGACTGATGTCAGGTGAATGATTGTGAAGCTTGTAGCGAAAGCCTGGAGATCACAATACAAGTTCAACATTCAGGTATGAGAGGCCAAGCAACAGCTTGTACCAAGGGTCTGGTCCCTCTAATCTGTTAATAGGAAAAAAATGGTCATTTCTTCGGATGTGAGGTAGGGCGCACTAAATTGCCAACCGTCCAAAAGTAGATGTCGGTATATCTCAAAATGTCCCACCCGCTCACATGGGTGTAGAACGACCGATATGCATGCATGTAAGTACATGTGTACTTGCCAGTGTCGTCCATCGTGAACACACTGGATCAGAAGCAGATAGTTGAGTTGGAGTCAAAATACGACACGCCACAATGCAAGTTCACCGACGGATACGTACGGTGTGTCGGGCTGGTTGGAACCGGAACAGACGTGTATAATCAAATTAGCAGTACCTCATTACCGGGCTACTGCGGTAGAATTGTGGTTGCGCTGCGACAGACTTAACTGGCCTGAGGAAGGAGAGTGCAATAGGTGCTGCTTAGTGTTATTTTAGCTAATGACAAAAGGGTTATTAACAACTCTATTACATTACTACTACATTACTACTACATTACATTACACTACATTACATTACTACTACATTACTACTACTACTACATTACATTACTTTCCAACAACCTACCTTAGCAGAATTGGCATCCCTTACAATCATTTCTTGCAAATATGAAATGTGATGTTTTGAGAAAGGAGTTTTGAAAAGTCATGCTGCCTAACGACTACTCGCTGCCGCATAGCCTATTCTCCCAGCGCAGTATTGATCGCCGTTGCAGGAAACAAGTGTGGTTACGCTGTCCGATTTGTTTCAGGCGGGACCATGAGCGTTCATTCCAATATATTCACTGATGAGGCAATATTCCTCTAGCACGGAACTGTGAAGCTGTATTTCTAGGCAATGTCTAATGCTCGCGGATATTGAGAATTACGTATTGCACAAAGCGTGAAGCTCATTGGTTTTAAAATATGAATGACAAATTGTGGGACCACAGCACACGCATGTGGGTTCTCACGCATAATGTGCATCACTTGATAACATTTCTGACCCATTGTGCTGCAAACTTCGAATATCAAATTTAAAGGATCGGTAAGTCACTTTCACAGTCTGTATTCTTATTGAAAACTTGTTGGAGCATCTTTATTTCTTCTTTATGTGACCGGTATGTTATCGTTTGAAAGCACTCATCTCACGCCGAAATCTGTACGCTGATAAACAGGATACAAATACGACACAACACCACTGTCCGTGAGGTCACTGACGAATTCATTCACCGCACTGACTGGTCGTGGTACGGCCAATGGATATCACGAAAATCTTATTCAGCTACTCAAAGCTATCACGGTTATTTCTCTGCGTTAGCAATGCAGAACGACTACACTGTTCAACCGCAGTCTTGTATCGTGCCTGTGGACCAACGTGTGTGATGCAATGCGAACAGGCAGACTTCACACCGCCACGGAGGACGTGTCCGCTTGCGTTGCGGCCGAGGAACAAGGAACAATGATTTATAACGGGTAAAAAAGCAGGTGCTCTACATGTCCCGTAGGGTGTTTAGCGTGACAAAAAGATAGAGCAAGGGATAATGGGGTCGTCAGTTCGGGCGCTTACAGATGTAACTGCACTGTCGTATAAAGGGAGTTTGAAATCAGAATGTCCGCACACAAAGCAATAAGAGGAGTGGTTATTGATCATCTCATAGGCGAGAAAAATGAAGAAAGATAGCAAGGACAACAATTACTCGTGTGCAACTATCTTGGGTCGACAGGATATAGAAATCCAGTTTCTATAGTAGTAGCGTTTTATCAAATTTCGTACAAGGCGTTTGGAGTGACTCATTCTCGAGTAGGGTTATGACACTATCCCCTGTCTGTTGTGCACTAGTGCCAGCACCTGGTGGTCATGAGCTATAGCACGTAGTGTACATGTGACAGGGTATCGTCAAGGCGATGATGTAGCCCGAAATGGTGGTGTAAGCATTCGGAGAATTGCGCAGCATAGTGCCACCACACGAACTTCTGTGCATCGAATTTTGAACAAACGGACCTTCTGAAGGTGTCGTGCACTGCAGATTCAAGTTCTGAAGCCATGCGATTGTGAGAACCATATGGAATTCTCCCGATGATATCTGGATACCATGGACATTCACTCAATCATGTTTACAGATAAGACACATTTCAGTCTGCCCATTCAGCACAAACGGTGCGTGATTAACTTAACAAAACTTTCGGTAATCACTGGATCGGTCGCGGAGGTCTTATTGACTGGCCTGCACGGTCACGTGATTTTAATCCCCTTGAGTTCTTCCTATGGAGGTACCTAAAACGATGAGTGTATAAAACCAGGCCAACCTGTGTGAAGGAGTAGAAACGGAACATGGTAAACGAATGCCACGGTAGATCGGTGGACACTTTGCAGAAAATGCTAGCCAGTAGCATCTGGCGAGTACTGCTCTGCAAGCAAAACGACGGCGGTCATTTGGAACATCTACTGCGTTAACCTTTATGATATGTACGATGATTTATTAACAGAACTAACGCATACCATTTGTTAAAATCATCCTACATAGGAATGTTGAGGGTCCATGTCCCCCTACGGATGCAGGCCGAAGGAAGTGTAACTGAGCATCGTCAACGAATGTCGCAGCATGTCGGTGGACACTTTGTAGAAAGTGCTATACGATAACTTCCGGCGAATACTGCTCTGCAAACGAAACGACAGGGTTCATTTTGAGCAGCCACTTCGTTGGTCTTTTTGCTCTTAAAACATACTTCACGTAAATATAAATATAATGCCTAACAATTAATTTCACTAGCACATTGTTGCGATGGGTAGCGGTGCGAATACTACGTCGGGGTTGAATGAACGCTGGAAGAAAATAGCAGAAGATGGGTACGTGAGAAACGCGCGATCGCTTTATTGTCCGACAGGGTGCAGGCGCCAATCTTGATGTTTACTGTAAATTTGACGGCGGTGGACGAAACCGTTGAGGTTCAGTAGGCTGCGTTGTGTGCTTCTTGCAAGCCAGGGTCACGTACCTCCGTTGCCCATATAGCGTTAACCTCGTGTTTGCCAAGGAACACAATTATGATTACCGCCATTCTTCTGTCAATCATGGTTCTCCAATGGCAAGGGAACTGTCGCTGGCAAATTACGTAGGAGCTATAAGCTAGAGATGTTTTCACAACCGATTATCGTTGGATACTTCGGCACTTCGCTTCAGCCGTTATAGGTTCAATATGGCGCACCTGCCCTTTATGTACAAACCGTGCGGCATTATCTTAAGGATGTGTCCGGTCATCAGTGGATTGGTCGATGAGATCCAAAGGCTTGGCCTGCTCAGTCACCAGATTTGAACCCTTAGATTTCTTCCTATGGGGTTACTTGAAAGGAAGAGCTTACAAAAAAATGTCTGTTTCAATGGAAAAACGGAACCACAGTAATGTCCACGAATGTCGAGCCAACAACGCGGAAACTTTGCATAAAGTTATAGCCTATTGCCTCAGATGCTTTCCGCAGTGCAAGAAGAACGACGGCGCGCACGTTGAGCTGCTTCGTCGTTGACGGACATATCAAGGTCTTATGCAATCTATGTTAATACACGTATTCACCGTTAACACTGATTTTTGGACTACATTGTTGCTAGGGCATATAGTGCCAAAACTGCGTCGGGTCAGAATGCAATTCATGTGCAAAGCTGTTTCGACGGCGGTTAGACCGAGCACTTCCATCCAGCATAATTCACAATAGTAATACTTATTTTTCATGTTTATGCCTAGGGAATACGTGGGGGTGTGTATGAGATGTTGCTGTAAGAATAGGCTACGCGCATTAGTATTTGTATCCTGTTCATCAGCGCACAGCTTTCGGCGTGGAATGAGTGCTTCCAAACGATAACATACCGGTCACAGAAAGGGAAAGGAAGATGGTCCAACCACTTTTACATAGGAATATAGACTGTGAAAGTGATTTACGGATCCCTTAAATTCGATATGCGAAGTTTGCAGCATAATGGGTCAGAAATATTATCCCAGGGGTAACGGGCTTGTGGTGCACATTATGCCTGCCAACCCACATGCTTGTGTTGTGGTCCCACGATTTGTCATTCAATTTTCCAGCCAATGAGCTTCGTGCTTTGTGCAATCCTTAATTCTCAGTATCAGCAAGCATTAGACATCGTCTAGAAATGCAGTTGCTCAGTTCCGTGTTAGAGGAATATTGTCTCATCAGTGAATATGTCGGAATGAACGCTCATGGTCCGGCCTGAAACAAATTGGGCAGCGTACCCACACTTGTTTCTTGCAACGGCGATCAATGCTGCGACGGCAGAACAGGTTATGCGGCAGCGAGCAGTCTATTGGTGGCATAACTTTACAAGACTCCTTTCTCAAGATGTCACCATTCATATTTGCAAGTCCTAATTGTAAGGAATGCCAACTTTACTATGGTAGGTTTTTGGAAAGTAATTTTCAGTTTACAAGAGAGTTGCCAATAATGCTTTTGTCATTAGCTAAAATAACACTAAGCAGCACCTATTGCACTCTCCTTCCTCAGGCCAGTTAAGCCTGTCGCAGCGCAACCGTAATTCTAGAGCAGTAGCCCGGTAATGATGCACCGCTATTTCGATTTCACCGCCTGTCTCCGTTCCAACCAGCCTGACACACCGTATGTATCGGTCGGTGACCTTGCATTGTGGCGTGCCGTATTTTGACT